AATTTCTCCACAGATTTTATCTTCTTTTTAAAGCTAGTGACAGTGGCCTTCACTCTCATTTAATGTTTGTAAAGCACACTGTACATCCTCATTTGGAATGAAGACACTGAGGATGAGATCAAGTCAATATTGATCAAGGGAGCTGGGGAAACATTCAAGTATTATGATCTATCACCAACACTCAGCCTACTGGTCGATAGTTTAAAGTTAGGACCTGGAGCAAACTTACATGGGAACAAATGGCACACTAGTACCTCAGTCATCACCTTTAAGTCATATAGTAAATTATGTATCAACAGAGACAGATAAACAGACGTAGGTACCATCTCAGTAGTATGATTAGAAATTGAGCATTTTATCAGCAGGCAAGTAGAAGTAGGCAATGAGTTCATACAGAGAACCAAATCTCCCAAGGTAATTTGGTAATATTATCCTGCCAAGTGTTAAAAGAACTTTGCCACAGATTAATGGTTAATGTGTGGTAAATATCTGATAGAACAGGTAGTAAAATGGTCACCAGAGTCAACTTGATGTCAATGAGTTGGGAAGGGTCTGCAGACACTGGTCATGATGTTGTGGGCTAGCATAATGACAATGGTATAGGGGGCCATTCACACTACAGAATTATAGTGCTATATTCCACTTCAGCTGCAATGGCAACATCCTATGAAATGTTGAGGACTGTAATTTGGTGAAGCGATAGAATACTATTTAGAATATTGTACCAAATACCCCTATCTAAACTGCAAATCCCAGGGTACCATAATATGGAACCATGTCAGTTAAAGTGGAATCATAGCACTATACATCTATAGTGTAAGATGGCTATAGGTGGCAGCACAACTGAAGCAACTGAGGGGCTCCCTTTCAGCACAACTTGTCAGACACAGAAAAGACACCCTTGCCCTTGAAAATCCAGCAAAGAAATAAGGAAAGACTTCATAGGAACTGTCTGTTAAATAGAAGATATTGACTCATCAAACACCTGGCATCCAGAGTTAGTTGCTTATAATCTCCTAGCAGCTGTGGGGAATCCTTGTCATTCACAACCTTTCAATCTCTCCAACTTGCCATACTCTTGGTATTGCTGTGTTTCCTGAAGTTCCTAGCCCATGGCCTGGCTGTGTTTAACAACTCCTTGTCTCATTTCTTTTTGGCTTCAGCTATCTGGACTGCTGGTTTGTGTAGTGACCTCTGGACATTGTAGACCAAAAAAGCAACTTTTCCAGGTTCTGCGCACTCTTCCTCTTCTCTAAACAAAGCCAGCTGCTGGAAGCACTCTCTCTGAAAGCACTCATCACTCACATTTAATATTGTTGCACAGTATTAACAATGAAGCACTTGTTTTGATACTAAGGCAACCTACAGATGTTCCTAAAAGAAAGCAATAATTGTGAGATTGCTAAATTAATTTTCCCCCCTTATCAACTTTATCAGGGTTAATCATTTTCAAGTTTGTAAGGTTGGAGTGTACCATTACAAAACAACAACAACACTTTTTGGCACATATTATCACTACTCTTATGCATGAGAGCATAGTTAACATTGTAAGTATTTTATGAGTTTTGCAGAAAAGGTCTTGTACAGAGCATTGGGAGTGATTTTCATGCATTTATCATAAATATCACAATCCAGCTCCTCAACCTAGAAGTACAGGACTACAACTATGAACATATCTAAGCCCACAAACAGCTGGAGACAATGGGGGTTGCATTCTATTTGTGGTTGTTAATTCCATTTGGTGGTGGTGTTTTGTTTACCAAAAATTTCTGTGTGTGTGTATTTGGAAATCTAAATCCACGCCACCTACCACTCCATCAGTAATGGCATATCTATGTGCAAGGACACACAGCTGCATTTCAAATAGCATTTACGTGCTCTGCCATTCACCATCAGTCTTTGGGATGCTGATGAATGTGCTGACAGACAGAGGCTAATTGGCAGACAGTACGGAGTCAGTTTTTGATGACACAGTGGAAATCATCAAAGACGGAGAAGGTAACAAAGAAAGTTTAGAAGGAATAAGAAAGGAAATTCAGACAGAAACTGTTTCATATGAGGAACGAGGGCAATCTGAAGTACAGCAGGAGGGAATGAGAGAACCACAGTCATGCAGAAAGGTATAAAATACATAGCAGGATGGAAGGGACAGAGAACAGGAAAAGGCAGCTGGCAAATGGAAATTTTAGAGCCCATGCAAAACTTCTTCTTGGGCCTACTTTGACATTCTGGTTTTAAAACAGTCCGAAGCTCCAATTCATGAACCTCCCAAAAGTTCTACTTGCTGGGTGTAAGCCCCATTGAACTCAACAGATTTACCTCAGAAATAAGAATAAGAATAAGAATAATAAAGTTTATTTATACCCCACTCCTCTGTTAAAACAATCGGGGCGGCTTACAACAATTAAAATTACAGCAAATACAAAGCAAACCTCCCCCCCATTAAAAAGGCATTAAACTATACATATTAAAATTTAACATAACATCTCAACATAACACTCAAGAAAAAAATTAAAATAATGAAAACAATTAACAGACAAATA